GACACATGTACCTTTCGAGAGGATTTGGGCTAAAAATATTTAAAAACAGCATATCTTTAAAATCTCCGGTAAACAGTTCCGTGCGTTTAAGATAAAAATGTTTTGTTCCCTACATGTTGCAACTTCTCGTTTGAAATTGTTCAGTTTTTTAATCATAATTTCTTTCTAAGTTTTACAAAATATGAAGGAAATATGAATTTACAAAATAAGGGCGCATGTTCCTGTGCAGAACTATGTTATTCAAAATTTAATGAGGTACTGTTATTTTTCACAATGCAAGAAACATACATACTTCATGCAAATTCTTCAGTATTTAGTTTCTTTACATGTAATTAATACAGGGCGATAATGTTTGGTGGCAACAATTTGAAAAGTGATACATCGCGTTTGAGTGATTCAACACAAAATGCCGTTTCGAGACTAATAGCCTTTCTGCGTTAACGCCCGTTTAGGCTAATAATTTATTATACACTAATATGAGAAGTTAATGAGGGGTTACATAAGACTCTTTATACAAATCATCTACAATTTTATATCACAAAAAACACATGTATGGGCACCTAAATAAAATCTAATCTACATGCATTGTGCCTACATGCTTTTATAATACAAGCGCTTAAGATTGCTTTTGATATTAACAGTATCTTTAAAAGGTTTTAAAATTCCATGAAAAAGGAAGCCATCTGCAGAACGCTGTAGCTAAATGTTTTTGTTTCAAAGAAAACGATAATTTTTACGCTTCCGTGTCATTCATCGAAAATAAAATCATAAGAATCCCTTCTAAACGTCATTACTTTAAGAAAAAAATCTGATTTGTACGCCACTTGACTTCTTTGTAAGGAATATTAAATTATACGCATTTTTTCTTGCATTTCATTTAAACTTATTGATTGAATTAAATCTACTTCGTCGACAGCGCATAAACCACAATAGAATATGCACTCTTTAAAATTCACTATATTTGTTTACCATAACGACATTGGCGTTAAGTTCACTTAATATTTCGTTCATATTATAACTCACAATGCACAAAATTTATATCATTTGAAGAATTATCTTATCGTTGCCACACGTTCTATTCAAATACTATAATAAAGCTAGAATGATGTATAAAAGAAATTAAGCAAAAACAAAAAAGAAACAGTTTTTCACAAACGATTCAGTATTTCTCATTCAATTAATTCAGTTCTCAGTTCATTGTTCTCAATTCAGTTCTCCGACAAGGCAAAAATACATAAAAACTCAAAATATCCATATTAAAAATTACGAAGTAAATCTTAAACCCTTATTTCCTCGAATGAAATTGCCAGAAAGGATTAAGCATGATATTAAGTTCGCAATAATAAAAGAAGGCGTTATCTTTGTTGTTGGGAAGCTTAGTCTTCTCTAGATTGGCAACAAAATCTGCTATTTTGCCAAGTTTGAAATGTATAAACAAACATGTCCATCCATCGTCAAAAGTCGTTAAAACCTTAACCGCACTTTAAACAGCTTTTAAATTGTTGATAATTGTACAAATTATGCTTCCAGATTTACGAAAGGCATAAAAATCTTAACCGGGTGATAAGAAAAACATAATTCAATCATTTTAAAGCAAAAAATGTACAATTTACGAACATATAAGAGTAAAGAAACTGAGATCACTGAGCCGGGTAACAGAGTGGATATACACTGAAGTGACAAAAGTCATGGAATGCCTCCTAATATTTTGTCGGTCCTTCTTTTGCCCGGGGAAGTGCAGCAACTCGACGTGGCATGGACTCAACAAGTCGTTGGAAGTCCCCTGCAGGAATTTTGAGCCATGATACCTCTATAGACGTCCATAATTGTGAAAGTGTTGACGGTGCAGGGTTTTGGGCACGAACTGATCTCTCGATGATGTCCCATAAATGTTCGATGGAATTCATGTCGGGCGATCAAGGTGGCCAGATCATTCGCTGGAACTGTTCAGAATGTTCTTCTAACCAATCGCGAACAATTGTGGCCCGGTGACATGGCGCATTGTCATCCATAAAAATCCCATCGTTGTTTGAGTACGTGAAGTCCAATGAATGGCTGTAAGTGATCTCCAAGTAGGCTGAAGGTATCCATTTCCAGTCAATGATCTGTTCAGTTGCACCAGAGGACCGAGTCCATGCCATGTAAAAAACAGTCCAGACCGTTATGGAACCACCACCAGCTTGAACAGTGCCTTGTTGACAACTTTGGTCCATGGCTTCGTGGGGTCTGCGCCACACTCGAACCCTACCATCAGCTCTTACCAACTGAAATCGTGACTCATCTGACCAAGCCACGGTTTTCCATTCGTTTAGGGACCAACCGATATGCTCACGAGCCCACGAGAGTCGCTGCAGGCGATGTCGTGCTGTCAGTAAAGGCACTCGAGTCGGTCTTCTGGTGGCATAGCCCAAGGAAGACACATTTCGCCGCACTGTCCTATCGGACACGTCCCTCGTACGTCCCACATTGATTTCTGCAGTTATTTGACGCAGTGTTGCTTGTCTGTGAACATTGACAACTCTACGCAGACGTCGCTGGTCTCGGTCGTTAAGTGCAGGTGGTCGGCCACTGCGCTGTCCATGGTGGGATTTTATGCCTGAAATTAGATACTCTCGGCACGCTCTTGACACTGTGGATCTCGGAATGTAGAATTCCCTAACGATATCCGAAATGGAATGACCCATGCGTCTAGCTCCAACTACCATTCCGCGTTCAAAGTCTGTTAATTCTCGTCGTGCGGCCATAATCACGTCAAAGCCTCTTCACATGAATAACTTGAACACAAATGAAAGCCCTGCCAAAGCACTTCGCATTTATACATTTTCTACGCGATACTACTGCCATCTGTATACTTGCCTATTGCTATCCCATGACTTTTGTCACTTCAGTGTATATATAAATATATTTAAATTTTAACAAACATGTATATACGTAAAAAAGTAAATTTAAAGTTAAAATAATTAAAAAAATGTGCAAACATATAAAAGATATATACGTTTGGTGCCGCCGATTGCAACTAAAATACGAGGTGCACATCTACATGTATTAGCAGTCCTATATATAAAATTTCAACGTTCTGAGGGTACTCGTTTTTGAGTTATGCGAGATACGTTCGTACAGACGCCACGAAAACTTCTCTTTCAGAATTTATTTTAAAGCAGTTTTATAATTTTTTTGGAGGAAAAGCGTCTTTTATTCTGTCCTTGCATACAGATGTCACGCAGAAACATCGTTAAATTGCATTCGATAGCGGTCAAAATGGATATTTTCGTTGAAATATGCTGCCTGAAGCTTTCCGCGATTACAATACTTCCTTTTTACTTCGTACAAGGAAGTAAAAATGATGTCATCGGAAAGTATGTCCAATCACAAGTACGGATTTTTTCCTATGCGCGTGACGTGATACCGTATGCTTATAATGCTGCAGCATATTTAGAGTGCCCCCATGCCGCATTGAAACTATACATTTACAAACATTCATGTCTAATCCGGGATTTGAACCCAGGCCCATTGGTACGGCAGTCAGCGTCGCTAACCACCAACCGGTTGGGCGGTGCTTTTTCTTCTTAAAATCATGTTGTTATTCCTTATAGTCACTTGACTGACACATTCAGCCCAAGCCCACAGAATCCCTCGTGGCAAGGAGAGCAAGATATGCCTGTCGTTAGCAACAGCCTTGAGCATCTTACAGGTGACAGTGCAATTTAGCTCAGTTCAATTTTGATATAGAGCACCCCGAGGATGGGTCCGAGGGTCTTCCACCAAACCACACGAGAAAACTTTCAGCTTGCCAGATATTTAGAGTGCCACAATGCCGCATCGACATTATACATTTACAAATATCCATGATTTCTCCGGGATTCCTAACCGGGCTTTTGGGCACGGCGGTCAGCGATGCTAACCACCATACCGTCTGGCCGTCTCTTAAAATCAATACATAAGTGATTTCGTTTTTAACATGTAAATCATAGTTTCTATTCCACAGATTCCTCAATGGCTAATTTTAACTGCACACACTGAGAAAGTATTTCTGAGAGCTTCTGTACTGGTATTCCATAAAACTTAATCCGATAATAATATAATACAATAAGTAATATCCGATAATCCGATAAATAAGTAATATCGATAATCATTTTCTTGTTTTCGATTGTGATTACGGCAAAGCCTCAAGGGCTATCTGCCTATGGGAAGGGATGCCTTCATGGAGTACTTTCTAATGGAAAATGGCTCATATAAACGTTAAAAATGGGAAAAACCACGAAACCGCCCATGCACCCAGCCCGTAGGCGGGATTCAAACCGAACTACTAGTGTTCAACGACTTTACTGCTCGGCCGCTGGTGTTCTTTCTTGTTTTTGAATTTATTATATAAGATGTATGCCTAAAGCTGATGTGTGCTTTTTTTAGTCCAAAGGGATTTGAATCCCGAAGGACTATTAGTTTCGTTTTGGCATTTTGCGTCAACTCATAAATGTCGGTTCACTTTTCAAACTGTTGCCACAAAATGTTAGAGTCCTGCATTATATTTGAAGAAATTAAATAATGAAAAATCTGCATAAATGTATGTATATTTCTCGTATTGTGATAAAACAACGGTACATAGAGTCATCAAATTTTGAATAACGTAATCCTCCAACGAATATGAGCATGTGGAAGACCAAATTTGAAATTTGAAATTTGTTTTATGATCGATTTCCTATTTTTTAAAACTTTGACGAATTTTTGATTAACAAACTCAAGGATTTCAAAGCGAGCAATGGCAACGTTGTGCAGAAAAAACATTTTTATCTCCAGCGCGTGAGTCTCTGTATCGGAAATTCTAAAGATATGCTCGTTTTAAAACTATTTTGCGATATTGCTGTTGCACTGGATCTTATGGTTTAAGTGCGAGGAACATGATATTTAATAAAGAAAGGTAACACACAAAATGTTAAAAAACGCCCCTTTGGACGTAATTTAAAATCTGAAACATTTCAGTTTTTTTTTTTTTTTTTTTCCAGAAATTGTTAAGTTGATAGCTGAGAAATCGCCGGCATCTATTTTTGACACACGTAATCTTTATTGTGAGACTCCTTTGGAACTGGCTTGTTCATTCGGCAGACCAGAAACAGTTCAATTCCTTTTATCAATAGGCTGCAGTGTGGTTGTAAAAGACTCCCTACGTTGTCCTCTACTGTGTGCTCTATATAATGACCGACAATATGGAACTGCAATAGCATCTGTGCTTTTAGACGCTGGAGCAAACGTAAGTAACAAAATCAAATAACTGTTTTGAAATAGTAAACATTTAGTATTAATTGTTAAACAATAAACATTCAAAAGTCTTTAATCCGGACTCGTCGGGACTTCGGCGAGCAATTATGATAAGCAGAGCAATTATGATCTAAAGGGTATCAAAATTTACAAAAAAAAAAAAAAAAAAAAAAGCTTAATATTTGTTTACTTTATTAAACATTTCTTTCAACGCACTAATGCGTAAAGCATACATTACGCATAGTCGAAATTTGAAAATTGGAACCAGAAAACTATTTGATGTGTATTCGTGATACTTATAATGAAGAGGAATTTGATTTAAATCATATGAAAGACGGAGTACATCGAGATTACATTTAGTAAGGAATTATAAGCCGAATAAAATAAAAACATCTGTCCTGAAGATAAGGATAGTGCTGACAGATCAACTTCCAGTTCATTGCGCGCCGCGACGTCCCCCCCCCTCCGCGCAGAGCAGCGTGAAATTGATAAACAGATTTCGGAATGGTTATCGAAACAAAAGATATGCCTTTATCCATTTTTTTCAGCAATTCCACTTTTTGTTTGATGGACATCGAAACATGCTTTCTCTTTGTAGATCCTTTTGCAGCTCCAGCATCGGAAATTCTATTTGACATAATCGAAAGTTCCAACTTATTTTTATAAAATTGCTCTAACAGTCAGCAAAAATAATAAGCCGGATCCAACTCCAAGATTAAGGAACAACGCAATCTGTAACATTAACTGAAATAGATAATTAGATAATTTTAGTTTAGCTTATACCGTCCGTTATGCATTAAACGCGCATGCGTAACGGTATTACGCGCTTATGCGCTGACGCATGCGCAGTAAGTTTGTAGCTTTGAGGTCCGGAATTTAGATTATTCCGGATTATTTGTGTCCGGATTATAGAACATTCCGGATTATTTGTGTCCGGATTAACGACTTTTGACTATATATATTTTTCCGGAGACTGCAATACAAATGAAAATTTATATTTTGACGCGTAAGCCAAATCATATTCACAGCAAGAACAGCTAACGTTTTCTTGCTAATGAATAAAAAATATTTTTCAAAATAAATGCAATATTTTACTTCTCTAGTATGCATTTTACCAGTTCACGGATTTTTATTTTTAGAAGGAATAGCAAAGAATAATAAACTTAGTTTCAGGATTTTAAAATAAAATTTTTAAACATTCTTTATTTTAATGAAATTATAATCGTCAGTCATAAAACACTCTACACGGCAAAGAATACTCAGCTTTTAGTCATATCATCGTGGCATAAATGTTGTCTAAGCCTTAGGAAGGTATAACATTTTAGTTCTTATGGAATTCAGTGTAAAGAACTATTGGGTGAACCTACTCGTGTTTTAGAAACAAAATTACTTTGGCTAAGAATTGGAAAATGAATCCTTTATCTTTATGCATGTTTCAAAAATGATTTTTAAATTAGGCAGTTTTAGTTTAGAATTTTTAATTAAAATGTTACTTTTATTTACAAATTTAATTGTTTATTCTATATTTACATTAAAAACAATACGCAATAGAATTTAGAGGAAAATTAGTAAATTTTGAGGAATGTTTCTGAGGATTCAGTGATAGTTAACATATTTAGTTAAAAGTTAAAAATTTTAATAATAATAACAAAATTTATATAAGTAAAAATATCTTTTTCATAAGAATAAATTGAATTTAATTAAATAAATTCAATTTAAATACAAATTTAGTTAAATATAGTTAAATATTCTTTGCGCCATTGCTGCAAGGAATTAAATTTAAATTTAAACAAATTTAAATTTAAATTTTAACAAACACGTATAAAAGTAAAAAGCAAATTTAAAGCCAAAATAAAGAAAAAAAAAGTCAAAATAAGCCAAAATAAAAGCCTAAATAAAAGATTTAACTCTCGAACTAATCTACAATATCATTTAAATTCAGAAGCATAAGCAAATCAAGTGCAAAACCGATCCATGAAAATAAATTCACTAATTTAGCAAATTAAAATTAAACCAAACAATTTTTTTTTAAATGCATAAGTGAATGACCGTTGAGTAGGCAGGAGACAGACTTATCAAGGGGAAGTTGCCTCCAAACCTAACTCTTCATTCATTAAATTCGTGTTTCGTCATTCATTCATGCAGGCAAGGGTAAAAGTCAAAACCAAAAGTAAAAAGAATTACCAATAAAGTGGTACCCTTAGAAATTAGCATTTAAGAATTAAAGTTCTAAAAGGAAAATACTAATGAAATCTTTTGAGAAACAAGCAATTAAAGTCAAGTATTAAATTAAACTTTTAAAAAAAAATTAAATTTAAAAAAAAAAATTTATAAAAAATAATCTAGAAACCAATGTATTTTAGAAACACTTGTCTACAGAAACCTTCCCGACACGAATATGCATATCAATAAAAAGAAACTAAAAAGAACTATACATAATCCATAAAAACCAATAAGAAACAAAAAGAACTATACAATTTTTAAAAACAAAATATATATTTAAAATATAATTTCATATTTAGAAAATACTTAAATACTACAGAAAAAATTTTTAAAAAATACTTAAAGCAAGTAAATAGTAAGTTTTAATTCTAACTTACCTACTATATGAATATCTTTATGCAGATAAAATAGTCTGCCCTTAATTAATTTGATACTAAACGAAAGTAATGTGTAATGCAAGTATAATTATTTAATAAAGTGACATTATACAGCTTCTCAGAATTACAACAGTTTTTGAAGTTTCTGTCCTTCATTCAGAATATTTCAAGAGCAAAAGAAGCATCCTCATGACAAAGAAAGAAGTACTCCAATAGATGCAGAAACTCAATTGTTAGTCCTGAATAAGATATTAGTCTCAACGTCATTTTACGTTGATTCACTCTATAAGTCCAAATCACTTTTCAAACTGTTACCACTAAATATTATCGCCATGTATGGTGTTTAAAGAAATTAAATAATAAAGAATCTGCATGAATGTATGTATGTTTTACGCACTGTGAAAAAACGACGATACCTACAGCCATCAAATTTTGAATAGCATAGTTTTCCGCCCGAGCATGGGCTCCTGGAAGCACGAATTTTAAATTTCAAATTCATTTTATTATCTTGTAGAGACATTAGTTATTTTTTGGAAACATGCAAGATGAAAAATATGCAACGCCTTCGCCAAGAATCAAACCACAGACCTGTCAATTACGCGCCGAGCGTGCAGATCACCACACCAAGGCGGCGGGAGAAATACCTTATATACTCCCCCTTAAAGCGCGACTGTGGTTTTTATGTGACCCAGTCATCAAATTCTGGGTGAGGAAAATCATTATCCAACAAAAACAAATTTTTAATTAACAAATTCTGCAATTTCAAAACGAGCAGGGTCAACACTGTACGGAATAAAGCATTTTTATCTCCAGCGCGCACGACTATCTATCGGGAATTCTGAAGATATGCTGTTTTCAAATACTTTGCGATTTTACTGTTGAATGGAATGAATGTTCAACAGTAAAATCACAAACACCATGAACATGTGCATAAGCGCCATGAACATGATATTTAATAAATAACGTAAACATGCGCGTAAGCATGGAGAGTTAGTGAGCCTCCTTGCCACTGTATTCCACGCAAGGTTTTGCTGTCCGCCTTTAAGGCCAAAGGTTTAGTCCTCTCGGTATTTAAACGTATTGTCGTTTTCCGCAGTTTACATTCTACATACGTAATAAACTAAATGGCCAACCTTAGTGTTACCGATCTGTTTAAAGTATTCAAGTTTAGCTCTTATTTAAATTTATTTAGTTAGTAGTTCTCATATTTTTACGTTCATACCCCAAGTGGTTGGTTTTTGTATCGCAGAGTGCGGGAGCTCCTGTAATATGGTGGAAAATAAAGGCTAATTAAACCCTTCTCATCTTGTCGTCTCTTTAACACTCCATAAGACATAGTTTGTAATCAGACTCATTGTCTCATCAGGACACTTCATGTTCACAAAGCAGATAAGAAGGAATAGCAGTCCTGATATCTTGTCTCAGTTTGCCCATCTCCAAATGCATTTTCTAGATTTTCACCCTTTAAATGTCATTTTTGACCCCATGTTCCGTTTCATTTTTTTGTTCGTCTTGATGAGTACTATCATCCCTCTAAGTTTGTTGAAGCATTTCAGATACACCCTGCACACATATGGATTTATTATTATTTAATATCTTTAAAAGTAGTACATGGTGATGGAAATTGACTGCAAAAGACTCTTAATAGGCCTGGTGCTAATAAAAATAAGTAACAGTATCAGTCCCTTGCTTGAGCAGAATTTTGCCTACTTTTTAAATTTCAAGCGGGTTAACTTTCTTTGCATGGATTGCTTCTAATAATTATTCTCATTTCATCAAGCGTCACTTAACTAATCATCTTTGCTCAATTTTTGAAATTTGAGAGATTTTTGTCATTTGAAGAAAAATAATTTGTTACCTAATTTTTTAAACTTCTCTCTCCTTTTATATATGTCTTTATTACATATATATTACTATTATTTAGCTTTTGTAAATAATTTTCGGCCTCATTTGAGTACGAAGGCACGTAGGGAAAATATCTGAACTACAGTACAAAGTCTTTAATCCGAACGTCCATAATCCGGAACTCAAAGCTACAAACTTTCTGTGCATGCATAGCATTTACGCATGCGCATACCTTTACGCATGTGCATAATACGTTTACGCATGCGCGTTTAATGTATAACGGACGGTATAAGCTAGGCTCAAATTATCTAATTATCTATTTCAGTTAATGTTGCAGATTGCGTTATTCCTTAATCTTCGAATTGGATCCGGCTTATTATTTTTTGCAAACTGTTAGAGCAATTTTATAAAAAGTAAGCTTGAACTTTCGATTATGTCAAAAAGAGTTTCCGATTCTGAAGCTGCCAAAGGATCTACAAAGCGAAAGCATGTTTCAATGTCCATCAAATAAAAAGTGGAATTGCTGCAAAAAAATGGATAAAGGACT